ACTAAACTAACATTGTGTGTGGAGTTTTCAAACCACCGAAAGCATATTTTCTAAATGTTGAAGTTCAAGTTCATGAAAATTTCTGATAAGAAGTGATTTTTTATTTTGTCTAAAATTACAAGCGAGTTTAGTGCGTTAAAATATTTATGAGTGGAAAATACTTAATATTTTTCTTTTTTAGTATTATCTAAAATATATATATATATCCAATTGTTAATTTCAAAAAATTAAAGTTTGATTTTTTTTATATGCCAAATATATATATGTATAAAACATATATTTGAGAATATTCTCCGACATTTTGAAGTTGATCTGCCAAATAGTTTGTATGAATTGAGCGTATTTGTATGAATTTTTAAACTTATTGCAATCAGCTTAAAAAACGCCTTTTAAACGCCTTTTTCACGAAAAACTGTTTTCAGAGTCGGTGAGTAAAATTTTTCGAAAACGGCTAAACCGATCAACTTGAAAAATTTACCCGATGTGTAATGCTCGAAAATTCGATTTTTTAAGCCACTCTAATGTGTAAATTTTTCTCAAAAATCTACTTTTGGATTTGAGATAATTCGAAGTAGTAAAATCTTCTTCAACGTCAGACACCTCTTTTCGAAGGTCCTTCTCGAGATCGGCCACAGGTCAATCAAAACTTTTTCAAAATGAATCACCGACTATCAAAGTGCATTAAATTTTGTAAACGTGTATTATTAGTTATATAGTTATAGTTATAAGTTAAACGTCCTGTCAAAAATGTTTAACATAAATATTTTCGAAAAGTTAAAAATTAACAAATATTAAATGCAATTGATATATATATATATATGTTTAATTTTCAAAATAATAATTAATATTTAGCATTAGTAGTATATTTTATGGTTTGCCAAACTTCTCCTCCCATTAGTGATATGCTTTGTTGTTGTTCGACAAGTACAAGTGGAAGTAGAAGTAAGGGTTTTCCATTATCTGATTAAGGTCAATCGTTTTGGAGAAATTTTCTTTAATATTTACTGGAAACTGTTTATACACAGGTTCTGCGGAGTGATAGTACTGACATGATGAAAAATGTGAAGAAAATTTAGCTATGAAAAGACAGGCTGCTGAGAGTTAGAATTGATAGAGACTAGTGAAGTTTTAAGAAACTGTGGTTAGCTTGTTCGGTATTGCAAAATATTTGCTTAAGAATAGTATAATATGTTGAAAAGAAAGTAACTATAAATATTTAAATATATCCTATCGTTCTTAGACGAGTGTCATAGACATACAAAAATATTCCACTCTATTTATTATGCTATCTCTGAGCAACTGTTAGTTGAAATATTATTTCACATCGATTTTGCGTATATTTTAGATATTTAAATCTAATCCTGTTCGGTACAAAAATAGAATGTCTACATAATTCAGAGATGTAGAGAGGTTATATATTTATCCTAACCTCTAATATACCATAACATAATGAGCTTGCTTACATAACAAATGCGTGCCTAATAAATAATAGCAAATCTTCTAAAATTCAGTCGATATCTCGAAAGCAGCTGAGAACTAAATAAATTAAATAATATGTTTTTTAAAATAATAAATCTTTATACCAAATAACATAGTAAATTGATGTGTGGCAAGACATTACATGCATACATATGTACGCACATACTACATATGTGTGTACTTACTATAGTATATATATATATATATATATATATATATAATTACGCACGAAATTGTGTTTGTGTACCTGCGTTAAGTGGCGTCGAAATGACTCAAGTGTTCGAACGCCAAATGTGCAATTTATGTGACTCGCATATAAATATTTTCACAACCGATCAGGAAAATAGTAAAATTTTAGTTTTTTTTCTTATTGTTATAGCTTTTAATACTTCAAAGGTATATTATTTAATTTTATTTTTGCAACGAAGTCGTTGGTCTGGCATATTTTGCAGGTGTTTTATAATTTTTAATCCTTTATACTTCTTCTTACAAATTACATTATAAACAATTGCATTTAACTGGCACATTTGCGCAATTTTCAACGGACCCAAACAGTCCATTTCCGATTTGAAACGGCTTGCAAGGTTGAGTTTGAAGTGTAGTGCAAATACGATTACAGTTATAACTAAGCGGAGAATAAATTTTAGTAAAGTTTTATCAAAATTGGTTCATGGTGCTCAAAGATCTATATATTTATCAAAAATATTGCTAAGAAGTCTTCTAAGTTTAAGCGCTTAAAATAAAATTTTGAGTTCTAAGTGTTAGCGTATACAACGAAATAACCAAAATGGGTAGAATAAACGTTTGTTTATAAAACGTTAAATTTTAATCCGTTCAGCGGCAAACGAAAGAATGACGGCAAAGTAAGTCAAACATGCATCGATCGGCTTTAAATAAATTCCATAAAGATCGAGGTACCCAGTACCGAAAATTAATTCTTTATAGCATAAGTCAAACATGTTCGAGTATTAATTTCATAATCTTACAAAAATTAATAAAATTTGTTTAAGGCTCATTCATCGTTCATATCGTTTAATGGCATAAAACTCGTGATCAGACCTTATATATATATATATATATTATGAATAATTTGAAAAGGCATCTTCACTCTATAATTTTTTGAATTTAAGTTGAAACCGCAGCACAAAAGCAATATAGCAATTATAATTCAACTTTGACAAGCTTTGATATATTTTAGAATCGATAAGTAGAAGTTCAAAAGCAATAACGTTACCAGTTGCCAGCACTAAAATGTGAATGTATAGAACTATTTCCGCGCCAAAAACTTATATTATTGCGGTTCTTTTCTACAGATAAGAAATCTAATTTCTATCATGTATTGGTTTAATGTTAATACTAAAGCTACAATAACAAAATTCGCTCAAAACAAATTCTATAAGAACCCTTACCGACAATGAAAATGGATGAAATCTGATTATAACCGCCTTCCCCATATAAGGGACTTATTAAAACTACTAAAAGCGCGATAACAATAATTAAATGCGCCAGCACATTAAATGTATATTCAAAATTGGACGATAGGCGTGGCACCGCCCTTTGGTCTGAAAGAATTAAATGTTCTTTATTGACCTGGCCTGAATGTATCCTGTGAGTTTGTTTAAAACTTTACCTAACTGCAGGTATATGTTTAAGTCTAACCATATAGAACTCCAATATCAGCTGTAATATTTATTGTAGCTTAAAATATTCATCAACATAAAACTTTTACGTGAAATAAAGTCATAAAAGCATCTAACTCATACCAACATTTTAGTTTTTCAGAATATATGCTAGTTTTGAGTTTATGTTAATAGCTTTTACAAGCCATTTACTTTAATGTGCATTCAGACCAGATATTTTTACACGCTTGAAGCCTCCAAACATACCTACCACTGCCTAGACCACTTACCCAATCCTCGAAATGTCAACGAGATGCATCAGAAACTGTCATATACACTCACGCATATTAGAGTATGTGCACAAGTATGTGTATTTTGACTACAACTTTGTGTGCTTGTGTGTACGAATATTGCATAAGCCAGTTGATTACCTCGAATAACAGTACATGACACCAGGGTACATGCCACTAACTTTGTAGGACCCACATGTTTGGGCACGAACGTACATACATATTTGTATGTATGTGAAGGCGCTATGTAATCGGGAAGTGGGTGACAGCATTGTTGCAGTGATTGCCCACCAGTGAATGAATAAAGGAATGAAGAGTAACTGAATGAAAGCCATCCAGCCTGTCTGTCGGCGTCATCGCATTCAACGCTGCTGTTGATGCCACTTTGCATTATCAAGCTTGACTGCGTCAAGTTGCAATACACCGCGTAGATATGTATGTATGTAAACGTTGTTCTGAACATCAACAAAATTTGAATACTTTGAGAACGTTTGGCACCGATACAGTAACTAGCAGCTGCTATTTATATGAGAAGCTGACAGCAGTAGCGCCAAGCTGCTTCAAACCATAAAAGCAGTTTCATTCGTCGTCGTTCTATTAATAAATTTAAACCACGCATACATAAAGCGTAATTGTATCATTTGATCACCACAAGTTTAACTGCAAATGATGTTTTAACAAAAGTTGTAACCGGATCCGTTTATCTACTGACGTAAGGCGAAGCATAAACAATGTGTGTATCAAAAATCTCGTGAAATAGTCATGGAATAATGTGTAATAGAAAAGGTGTAAGCTGAAAACCAAATTTCCATTTGATATTATACCGCGGCGACCCTTAGACTCTCCCCAATTGTGTGTATATAGAGCATACATTTAGGTGAATGTGTATCAAAATACCGTTAAATACTTTTATTCCACTACTTACAATTTTCTCAATTTCGTTTCTTCTACTACAATATGGTGAATACCGCATCAAAAACCATCCTGCTTAAACCGCATTTTCTTTCTCAGAACCTTACTGATATCGTCTTCAGTCATCAAACATTTTTTATCATGCACAGTGTTAGAGGTCTTGCTCCAACACTAAGTTAGATTTTGATACTATCTGATCAATTTTGACCCACACTGGTTCAATTAAACTGCGCGCACAAACTGAATCGATAAATTTCTTTTTCCTAAATTCTAACAGCCTTTGCTATGTTAATGGGAAGTTTGTTCTCCATATGTCAATTAGTTTGTATTTGACAGCTGTTTGCTTACGACACGAGAAGTTTGTCTGGAGATTTTTCCCATGGAGAAAAAATTAAGCAACGAATTCGCGTGAAATTTTGTAATAGTTAGCTTAATTTTTCGTTTAGATAACTTCTTTTTTTTTTGACATATATAACGTATTGGAACAAAATATACTTTATCTTAAGACTGTGGTATTCCGGGATTTCCATCTCTACAGCTCTCTGTATAGCAAGCGCAAGAGACCTAGAAGCAAAGCGACAAGTAAAGAGTGTTTTATTGTGTACAAAATACTCGAAGCTCTCTGTAGCTTTATATTATAAACTAAATGTATATAAGTTCCATTCATATTCATATAAGTCTGTCATGGCATATACTCTGTTATTTTGTCGGTTCGCTAACGCATGCGTCAGTTAATTACAGAATGTTTTGCTCAACAATCGTGATTTAGCTCCGAAGAAAAAGTGCTTGATAATACGATTTAGCGAACTTTACTTATTTAATTTAGTAACTGTGTTCGTAAAATATACCGTGGTGTTAACAAAAAAATGTGTTTAAAAAAGAAGGAATGCAATAAAAATATGGAAGTGTCATTGTTCTAACGAATCAAACAAAAGAATATATTCAAAATCGACAAAGAAAATTGCCAGTACCTTTTCAGCTCTGTAATAGCAGCTTGGAGCTATGCGCGGAATCCGAACACCGACTATTTGAGTGGATACAGAAATGTGATAAAAGTGCAAAAGAAATGGAGTATGCTCGAACACGCATATCGCCAACGATATCCGTAAAAAGTCAGCCTGTAACCGAAATAAAAATTACAACAAAACCAAAAAGTGAGCCTGTAACACCAATAAAATGACAACAACAAAAACTGAGTTGAAATATAACGCCGACGCAATGAACAGTAACACACTGGAATCCAATGGCTATGATGGCTTTTCAGATATCGATGGACACTCTCCGTATAAGCCTTCGAACACTAGTTGCCACAAATATGTATGCGAGCTTTATGTATCGTTTGTTCTTAAGTAGTAACGACTGTTTCTTTTCAATCCCGAAAGCGTTTGACCACTATGATACGCTCTTGCCGGACTGATTGTCAACAAAAGTACGAATATAATAGCAATGTTCTAACGAAAGCGGAGCGTCGAAAACTTAGTAGTGCCATAGTTAAGTACTTTCGACTTAATAAGATACGTGTGAAATCAGAAATAGCTACGGATTTGGCCAAACAGATAATGCCGCATTTTCCCACAGAAAGAAATGTATGCCAATTAAGGATAAAATCGGTGTAACTAAATGTCACAAAGGTTTAAGAATGTTTAGTACGAGAATAATATCAGGTCTCTTATTCCATGTGACTATTACGGTAGACCCCTAAGCCAACGCAAATCCTCATATCCCAGTAAAACTTTAGAATGAAAACAATCAAAAAACGCGTACTGAGCCTTTGTATTATGAAGTCGAACTTTCCGATTAGAGTTAGGGTCCAGCTATTCTGGTTCTTGTTGAGGTAGTACAGTTTGATTTCGACTTTTTGCGATGATGTCCGACGAAAAAGTTGAAGTGACCTTTGTAGAACTCCAGAATTTCAGAGTAAGTCTGGGAGTCGTGGAATATTCCGACAATACAACACGCCCTCGTCACGGCAGGCGGTTCTACGTTTCTAAACCCCGATTTTTATCTAGTCAAGAGGTATAATCTAGTTACCTTGGCTTCAAAATACATTATACAAGCTTGTATAGCTTCATGCAGAATGAAAAAGTTCAGAGAAGCTCTCCTTCAGTTTGAGATGGTGCGAACTGCTCTAACCGAATAAATAGTAATAAGAGAATATTTTCTAGAGCTTAGAAATTTTTTGTAGTAACCCAAATCTTACCGATTTTGTGGTCTCAAGTATGGTATGATATTATATATAGGTAGCTACGGTATATTTGAATTATTTGAGATTCCGACCCCAAAAACGCGATCCATATTTTTTTTTTGGTATAAGCATAAAAACGACAAAACTCGCGGCCGCTTAAACAGGAGGTGCTATAATTACCATCGTCGTAAAGAACGTCAAAGGTTCACAACTAAAAAATGCAGGCAGCGACATATCTTAATTTACCAAAACCAAGCAGCCGGTGTATCCAAAACGAAGAATCATTAGAAATTAGCCAGAAGGCTTCGTAAGATGTGAAGATGGTCATGGTTTTCCAAAACTAGATGGTCAGTGTTTGTAGGACAAACAATAATTATCGTACGGGGGGTACTTTCCAATGTGCTGATGATTATGATTGTCCAAAAGCAGAAGAGCGCTTAAAATGCTTTGCTAATGGTACATACACACAAATAAATAAACAAAAGGTCTTATTAGATTGCAAAAATTCTTACCTTCAGGCATGCGTCGCATACAGCTTTGGCTGCAAGACGTCGTCAAATGTGAAAATGCCATGGATACGATCGACATGTGGAAGTACACATGGGTGTATCGCACAGAACAGCTCGAACGCCTGCAACCTGGCCACAAGCAACAACTCGAAGCGCTGCTCGCCAAATGGGAAACCTACAAGGATGCAAAATAGCCGGCAATTGGTAAACGACTCTTTCTTACTAAATTTTTGAAAAAAGTTTAATTATTTTTTTTTATCTTTCCGGCAAAATAGAAATATACAAAGAGCGTTTATATCTAATGCATACATCATCATATTTATGGCGACAAATATAAGAAAAAAAAACTTCCAGAAGTTTCATCAACAGAACAGTAGTGTGGTGGACACCTTTTGTAATGACATATTGTGAATATATATATATAGGTATATATAATTTCATATTCTGCACTCCGCTTCCAGACGACCAAGAATGCGCGTTCATTCACCTGATGCACGACATCATGCACCCGTCAAGTTACAGCATGCCAGAGGGCTCACGACGTTACATTACCGCCGAATCACAACGAGTAACCATGCGTGTTGTACAAAACGAATGTGAGGTGAACAGCTACAATGAGTGGTATCCGTGCATATTCGTCATGGTGAACAAAACGCAGGACAACAATCGGTGCATTGTGGCTTGGCGCGATTTGCGTTATCATTTGACGCTCAGTGAAGCCTTGCTCGTCGCCATGCAGCTGTACTTGGTCTTCAAGTTGGAGTATCCACCGCCGTGTGTGAATTTCTGGCATTTTGTACGTGACTACTTCTTCGATATACAATTACCGCAGGATATATCTTACCCTATGTTAGCTAAGCTAAAGCCATTAATGCAACTATTCAGTCCAATTCTCTGCCGCTCCCTGCAAAGTTAGCAGATATCCAACTCTTTTAAAAAATTGAAAAACTTACTAATAGCTTTAAAAAAAATCTTTAATTTTTTTGACGTAATGAACGTCAAATCACCAGCAAACATAATTTGTCAAACTTCAATTCACTGATTTTTTTTTAACATAAAATGTCTCAAAATAAACGCAACACCACGGACTCCAGTAACGCTACGAATTCGCAATCGGTCGCCACTTTGAAGCCGAATCTTTCATTTGACACTTACCCCGAGGAGAAGCTTGATAAGCTCATGGGTAAGTGCTGGACGGACTGTTTAATTAAAGGTGGCGCCGGTTTTGGCATCGGATTTCTCGTTACACTTTTGTTTATACGACGCATGTGGCCACCGATTTTGGGCAGCAGCTTCGGCTTGGGCGTGTCGTACAAGGAATGCGAGCGAAATCTTCAATCGCAAACAAAGTGTGAAGCTGGTGATAAAGTAAATGGAAATAAACTAGTGTAGCATTGGTATTTGTGTTCTATTTACTGAAAATGTTGATAAAACTTACATAACCTTAAAATATACTATATGTAATAAATCTTTGCAGAAACTATAGTATGTGCTTTAATGTTCTTCATGGTAAGTTGGTGTGTTGGGTTGATAATTTTTTAGTACGATAACTTATCAGAAATGCAGAGCTTTGATCTAATGCACGACGCAGAGTAGTCGCAAATGCTTTGTATATAGTTTAAGATCTTGCGATCTTTTGGAGGAGGACAGAACTTGAAAAGGATCTAAACATATATGTTTTTACCTTAGTTGGCGGCAATACCTCTCTTATTAAAGAATTATCTCGTTTTGTTACAAAAAATTGCTCTAGTTGAGCGCGGAATAAGATATTCGAATCAATGAACTGTATTTTACTCTTTTGGACCTATGTAACTTGCTAGTTGTTCTAAAAAGATAGTCCTGGGCAAAGCTTGTGTTGTAAATATAACAGATCACCAAGTGTCATACGCACAAAGCGCTTTGTCGGCATGTAAGGGTCTATTGATCTGTCTCATAGGAGTTTTGGCTACCACAACGGACCGGCGTTAAAGCTGTCCAAGTGTGATCCTTCTTGGGATCGACCCTCTAACCTAACCTAACCTAACCAATTGATACCGACGTATACCTTGTATAATAGGTTATAGCTACGTTTTTTTTAACTTTTCGGAGACCCTCGGAATGCTTTAGAAATAAACAAAAAAAAACCTTAACAGTCTATATGGCAGCTATATGCTATAGTAGTTCGTTCTGAACAATTTCGTCGGATATTGCATCGCTGCTTGAACAATATTGCTAAATTTCGTGAAGATATCTCGTCAATTACAGAACATCCATACATTTTTGATTGATCAGTTTGTATGGCAGCTATATGCTATAGTAGTCAGATAACAGCTGTTCCGACAAATGAGCAGCTTCTTGGGGAGAAAAGAACGTGTGCAAAATTTGATCATCGCTATCTCATAAGTTAAGGGACATTCAAGTCCCATTCGTATTAGTCAAATTCATTGCAAAAAAGATGGTCGTTAATCAGATATAAAAATTTGTCGAAGAGACAAGAGACTCTTCTTGGTCGAATTTATTTCGAAGCCTACTAAATGAATAAACTTAATCTTTTGATTATGGTGTTCTAACAACCCGGTGTGCTGAGTGTGTTGTCTAAGTTGAGCAGAAATTCGAAAGCGATTCTGTTTTCGCTTAATGTCATCTAGTTAGGTATTGTGATTAAGAGGTAGCATTTTGATCTACATATATTTTCTATAATTTGTATAATCGAAAATATTTATTATTTCAATTTAATTTCGATCGTTCCAACTCGAATACCTAAAGTTTGCATAGCAATATTTGCGTTTCATCTATGTAAACCTTTTCATCTTTATACCTTCAACATTGGACTCCATAATAATTACTATGTATACTATATATGACTATAGACAAATTTTTTGTTTACATATCTTATCACTATCAGCAACATTAAGTATTGCTGTAAACAATAGAGCGGCATGCGCTTGATAAGCAACTAAGCGATAAAGCTTTAATTTATTGTTACTCGCTCGTAGCATAATGCTGTTAAAGGTTCTCATGCTCTCTAGAATATATTCATTTTAGCAGAAAGCAAGGTTGTCAACTTCGGAGTAATTCCGCAATCTTTTCTCTTTTTTTCTAATATTTTAAATTAAAGAAATCGTTCGCTTGTCTCAATTAGCACCTCTGCTAATGGCATCACCTGTGGGGTACTTTTTTCCCTTCACTTAAGTTTTTACAAAAAATTCCCTTCGAATAATTGCACAAAATTTATTTTCTTTGAGTACTAAAAATTAATTTTACTTAAAAAAATATCTAAATAATGTTCAGAAGGCGACGAGGTGATGTACTACATTAAATCTATATAATTAAATTATTTTTATTAGATTTTGGATGACATTTTATACATTTTCTGAGTAGTATGGTTATCTTATCTATTTGATATTTTCCAAACCCTCCAGTTAACTACACTATTTTTGAGAAATTTTCCAATATTTTTTATACATAGTTAATATACAAATAATTATATCCCGAGCTGCCTAATATGATGAATTTACAACAATAAACTTTTGAGTACTCTTTAACCCGAAAACTCACTTTCAAAATAGAAGTTAATGTATTGTATAAGAATTATTAACAAATTTAAAATCAGCAAATTATATAAAAGCAATTTATTCATATAGATTTTACTTTATTTTCAGCAAAAATTAAAATATTAGTTAGATTCAAAATTTTCACCAAAACAAAATTTTTTTCTAAATCGAAAATCAAAATTGGTTTCTGTATTGCTAAAATTTGTACAAAATCACATAAGACATGATATAAACATTAACAATTTGGCAACCCTGACAACAAATAAATCGGTTGTTAAGCATTCTGAGCGCGAGCGTCAAAGCCAAACAGGAGAGTAATAGAAATACAATAAATGAACGCGGCTCCCACCTCGCTACATAGTTGGTGAGCCATTTTTAGTGCGATCTCCACACAGCGCCCATCTCGTTTGAGAGAAATGCCACTTAGAAAGCATCTGACGCGTGTGAGACTGTCAGTGGTGGCTAATGACGGAACGCGTGAGTTCAGTGCTAAATACGGAGGCCGTAAGCAATTTTCTAAAACATCGATATTCGCGGAGGCAATTTTTTCGAGCGAAAGTGCATATTCTAAATGAATTTCAAATTCAAGCTTAGTTGATTTTTATCAATCTAAAAAGTTTTTTGTGTTGAAAGAGTACACTTTAAATAATTCTAACTACCTGTATGATCTTGCAGTGATCGTATATACGAAAGTGCGTGTGTGTGGAGCTAAGCATCTCGAGCGAAATTGCCTAAGAAGTGTTGAAAAAGTGCGCGTATCATTCAACTAGTAAATAATGTATGTTATGGAGCTTGTGTAAGCTGTTAAGCAAAATCGCTTTAACATTTGTACATAGGTCGGTATTTAGGTATCGACATTAGTATGTACTAGAGTGCTTGGTGTGCCTCTGTCACAATTCTGTGCGTGTTTTTGTTATGCGTTCGCTTTCAGCTTTTTTTGTTGTTAAGAATACCTATCTGTCGTAGGTTAATGACGTACACGAGCGTTAACTCCTAATTGCATTAGCGGTGTTGTCTGGCTGACATGCTTTACGCTTATATTTAGCTATGCCTTAATCACATACATAAGTGTAAATACATATAAACATGTGAGAGTGCGCGAAAATACAGAGAATATATAGTAAATATATATATGTATATAAGTTTATGTTTGGCTGTGTCACTAAAGTGCAAACTTTATATTCTATTAATCAAATTACTCTACTGAATCAATTGCATTAAGCTATATATATAACACATATACATATATATATAGCTATACTTACTCAAATATGTATGTCTAAAAGTTAACAAATCAAAGATTTCGTTATCAGTTCACAAATTTTCGCAGAGTTCTAATATGTGTATCTGTCTTTTTCACTAGTATCTAGTAACAAGTAGCCTACATTTTGGCGCATTAAACAAAAATTTTAATATAAGCCATGAAATCTGTTTTAAAGTGCTTATAATGTGATTTCATTATAGCTTATTTTTCAGAATTTCTATAAAATATATTCAAGGTAATGCGGAATATATTACTCTTTCAAATTTTTTCTATATTCTTTTTATAAAAAAGACTTTAATTATGCGTATCATTTATTTCTTTTCGCATACAATGCCATCAATTTTTTGGCTTTTTAATGCTTTTTTCAATGGCAATTTTGGTTCAAAACTTTTCGAAATTCAGCGGGAACAAAAGATATTTAATTTTTCATCGTTTGTTCTCTTTTATGTGGAGGGGATGTAAAACTCTCTATGGGCTTAATCGGGTTGTATTGTTGCGTTATGAGACTAGGTGTATTTAGAGACATAAAAAAATTACTATTTTAAACAATTTTGTCGCCAGTAATTAGTTTATTTTTTAAAAGTAAAAACATAACATCATTAAATAAGGTTTAGACTTGACTGAACAGAAATTTTAATAAACAAAATTTGAAATTTTTAAGTAATTGTTGTTTGTGTTGATCAAGGTCCGACCAATAGCCTTTGCGGTGAACATCACAATTCTTTAGAGATTAATCTAAAATGAGTCAGACAAAAAAATTTGTTTTATTAATACTGTAGATAATATATTACCTAAATTGAAAAAATTATCTTAATTATCTAATTTAACAAAATGGCGACCTGAGGAACATTTTTTCTAGACTTTCGGGAGAAAACTAATAGCTAATTGTTTATAAAAATTCGAAATAGCAAATTCTAACTAGCGGTTTTCAATATACAGTGGCCGACAGTTCAAAAAACAAAGTTCTCAGAAAAATGCATTTGAAGTTTTACAGTTTCGTTCCAGATCGCCCGAGCAACCTTTGCTAATTATCGAATGACTCGAAAAGTATTTGTAAAATTTACTTCAAAATTTCACAGAATATTTCTATTTCTTATACTTTAAGAAACTGCTAAAATTCGATTTATTTTTAATTCTGACTACCCCTAATCCCTTATGCAAAATTTAGAAAACTAAACAATGTAGGGTATTGTTTTTAGGGTATCCATTTACCAAAAAAATATGAAATTTTTCATGGAGGGTCAACATTATGTCTTCCTAATGAATCCAGTTTCATTTGATTTGACCTGATCTGTATTATCAATATGATATATCGACATATGCCTTAAGTGGAATGAGACATTGCAGAATGTTCTACCAAATTTCCTGGTAATAAAAGGATCTGCATCTCTTCTCCTTGAGAGAGCATACTGAATTTTTAGGGTTAGGAAATTTGTTGTAGCTATGCCAGAGATCAGTTAGGTCTCAGTGTATTTCGATATTCAAGCTATAAAAACCGGAAGACATATGTATGTATATTCCGTTTAGAATTTTATTCCGATTATTTTTGTGGTAATAGTTTTCATGATACCTCCACAAATTCGAATTTTGACTAAAGAAATAAGCTCGACCATAAAACTATATAATATCTTGTGAATCCGATAGCGATCAAAATTTACGGTATATACATACATACATATATAAATACA